CCCCAAAACCCCAAAACCCCAAAACCCCAAAACCCCTTGCTTTAAATAATAAATTGAAAATTATATGAATAGGAGTCCGAACTGAGACAGATTGAAAAGTAAAACCAGTTCCTGATGTGTTTATAGCTGCTCGGACTAGTAGACGGCGGTCAATCTCCCTTTCGAATCAGTCCTCAGAAGTACGTCTGAAAGATGTGGAGAAGAGAAGGCAAAAGCAGATTCAAAAGGTACATAATAGGCTCATTTTCTTAGGTAAAATATAACAAAAAGCTGAAGAAAATCATTCAAAATCATCCATTATTCATTATTGCTCAAAGCGACCATCCTGCACCTCTTCAAAATCCTAAAAAGGAGAGAATAGAGGACCTATCTGAGTTCAATGCTGCTGATGAAGAATTTGAGAGGGTTGACACCATCTTGACTATCAGTTCTCAATATAATGATAAAAAGCAAGTTAACAATACAGCACAAGAGAAAGTTCTTCGGTTAAAGAACCAAACTCCTGGGCCATGAACCAACTCAGATAATTCCTTAAATTTCAAAGAATGCAGGAAGAAGTGACTATAGTTTCAAAGAACTATGGAGAGGTTATTAGTAAAGCTAAGATCAAACGTGTGAAGGGGCTACTCAATAGCGATATTAGGCTCAGATCTATCTCTAATAAGCGATACCCAAACAGGGTTTTCAACATCCAAAGTAAGCATAGGAACATCAAGCTGAAGAAAAGTAAGATTTTAAAAGTACTTGTAGCTGTCTTAGCATCATCAAGAAAACCTCAATACCCCAGCCAAGACAGGTCAAGAGCCCTCAACTCCACTGGCAGGAACATCTCCAGACTCAACTCACACATAAAGAGATTATAGCGCAAAAACATAATATAGGGAGTCATATAGGGTATGAGACTAACCGTGTAGGAGACCATACTCTTGTTATAGATCAGTAAGGGAGGGATAATTGGTTTAGGAAACCGAGGATGGATGGGCAGAGACAACAGATGACTCAGAGAAAAAGTCTGAAGAATTATCTTAATGCTATTAGAAAGGCGAAGATAAATATACATAAGTTTTGTATTCAGAATAAGTCAAGAGATTTGAAGCATTCTGGAAGGCATAATTGAAGGTAAGCATAGGATGGAGGTTCAAAAAGCTAGAGTTAGAATACTGCATTGATAACCTTAAATGAATTATCTTTGCAATCAACTTTAAATCAGGCAAACTTAAAAATATTTCAAATACCCTTATCTAAAACATTACTGTCAATTTCATTAAGAATAATGTATATGATATTACTGATAGGCAACAAATTTCGATAGCTTTGATTAAAAAACTTAAATACAAAAAATACATAAGAATTACTTGTACGATTCATAAAATATAATTCTTCCCTATTCACTCCAACTTAACCAGACATTACTCTAAATCTCACTCTAAACCCCCAATTTCACCAATATAATCTTTAACTCAGCCCTCTTCTTCACCCTTAAGACCCCTCCCTTACCTCTTCCTAGCATCGAGTCACGTCCAAGCCATCCCACTGGGAGCCACCCCTTCTCACTTAGACAGCACAGTTCAATCAATGACCAAAGAATATATTATCACAGGCATAAGTCGCCTTATAAGGCAGAAGCGTTTAAGATGAGAATGCTGAAGAATAGACGGCCTAAGCTGCCAACTTCGAGTGTGGTGTTCAACCTTATGAGAAGACGTAGGTAAAAATTCAATAATTTATCAGTTGTGAGGGGTTTTGGGGTTTTGGGGTTTTGGGGTTTTGGGG